ATTCTAAGTCCCCGCAAGCATACAATTGTCAGCAAACTATCTGCCGTACCTTAAATGCAAGAACATCCTCAAAATCGATAGTTTTGAAAAAGTCATGTTGTCGAAATGCTTCGAAAGTACACAATCTTTTGGCTAAAGAAGGGGCAAGCATCTGAAATATTTTGTTTAAATTTAGGACGATAAAATTTGGAGAGAAAACCTCATCGAACAATTTGCCAAGCTCATTATCGCATTCAAGCGGAGTACTGTAGTCGACAAATCTGAAAAAAAAGTAACGCCCAATTGAAAAGATGTTCAAAGTGGTATTTTAGAATTTTTAGCTTTATAAGTATTGCATACCTAAGATCACGATGGTGAGAAGCGTTCGCATTTGGATAGGGATATCTTCCCGTAGCGATGATATGGAGGAGAACGGCTAAAGACCACCAATCAATGTAGTGAGAGTATGGTTTCTCGGACGCTACGTTAGGTGACATATACTAAAAAGTAGAAATTTTAAAGAAAAAACTTATTAATTGTAAACATTCTTAGTACTTTAACAACACCTAAACTTTCGATTTCATTGGAAGCTTTATTGGTTCCTTCAAATTTTCCATTTAGAAATTTCATACTCATTTGATGTCCGTTGAGAGGTTAGTTTAGTTAAAAAAAAAGTCTTATAATTTTTATTTATACGATAGAGTAAGAATTCTACATTACTGACAATTTATGCCAGTAGTCCTATGCTAATTAGGATAGGCTTCATCTTTATATCTAATTAAGTCTTTTGCGCATTCTATATAAGAAAGGTGTTCTACAAGCAAGCAATTTTTGGTTCAGACCCAATTTTTCACCTGTTGTGCTTCCACTGTACTCTTTGGTATTTGAATCGGCTATTATAAATGCCGATCAGTGGATAAGCACATGCATAAGATTAAAGAGTCAGACGGTGAATAGAGGATTACACATTAGTCTTCGATCGCCTTCTTACAGTCTGAGTAGACATTCCACCCTTCTGTCATGCATTGAGAACTTATGTAAATCTACTATTTGTCCCGTTAATCTGGATTACATCCTAGATTTGGCGTTAACCCCTTAACT